TGTGATGGCAGTGAGGAATAGGACCCAAAATGCAGACACAGAGGGAAGAGGGTTAACAGGTTTATTGTGTCAGAATTGTGCAGAGAACTGAGGAGATCCGGAGTCGAGGTGCAGAGTGAGGAAACCAGGTGAGAGTGCTGGGCTTTGGGCTGCTGAGAGGCACGGAGGGAGACACTGGAACAAAAAAGGCAGGAGAACGAGGGTTAACACACGAGGAGCAAAAAACACCATCAAACTTGCAAGATACTTAATTCACTGGAGGATCAGAGGAGCCGAGATACCACTGCGTGCAGTTGCAAATACTCTGGCACTGAGGCTAGAGATGGTGGCAGTCTTAACAGCCCGTTGATTGCAGATGAGTCACAGGTGTGCGCACTCAGCCTCAGTGCAGGGCGGGGGAAGGGAGAAGCCTCTGGAGACAGGCAAACACAGCAGCAAACAACCCACACAGGAAGTAGACTCCGGAAATGTTCATAAAAATAAAAGCCAAAAGTCCATGCTCACCACAGATATATATATATATATATTTTTCCATCTAATTGGAGTGTGCAGACCTGAAAACAGTGTTCTGTGTTTTCTGCCTCTGAATCACCAACAGGACTGCTCTGTAGCCAGGTGTAGGGTGTTCAAGTGCAGCAGGTTCATGGGAAGACTGGAGAGTAGAAGGTACAACATCTCTGCCAACCTTAGTTCTGGATGGATCGAGCAGGTAACTGAAGTGTGTGTTTAATGTTCAACAAACTGAAGTGCAGCATTTCAGTATTTTGATTAAAACAGCTCCCTGACTCTGTTGTGGTAAAATACCTTTACAAATGATTTTGCACTGGAATGTGACAACGCTAAACATCAAATCATTCCACTTCTCATTTTCTCCTCAAACAGATTGGACTTAGATCTGCCAAATTCCTCCTGACCAGCACAGCCACTCTGGAGTATGACGGAAACCAGTACATCTTTATTTCAGCAGCGTCTAATAACAAACCTCCTGTTCGCAAGGTGATTAAACGTTGTTTTCACTTATTGGGGTTTTTAAAGAGCTTGAAATTTGATCCGCACTCTGTCATTTCACCTCTCAGATCGAGGCAGAGGTAGAAGTGTACACTGAACCAGACTTCACCAAAGAGATTATTGGAGGATCCCTGGGTGGGTTGGCTTTCCTCGCTTTACTCACCGCTGGCCTGTATAAGGTGAGACACTGAGGTGACACAATTAGGTTTGCATCTTGTTTGTTTCTTTTCATTTAATTATTTTGCATTTCTTTGTTATTTTTTTCTCAGGCTGGATTTTTCAAGAGTAAATACCAGGACATGATAAACGATGATGCAGCAGATCCAGGGGTCAACGGAGGCGCATCAGCACCAGAATAACAAATACAAAATCAGATGATGTCCCACAGACACCAACTGTTTCCAGATCCAGTACTTTAATACTGTAGCATTAGCCTGCTGATTGCAGCTGACTGCAAAACCGTTACATCTATACCATGATCTTTATGATTATCTCTGATTAGTTCACACGTGCCATTACTCAGAGCTGTACTATTTCTATAACATTTTGCCATTTCCAGGAATGTACATGATTTGTATGGAAGAGGACCACTTTGGATTAATTCAACTAAAAAGCTTGGCTGTGTCTGAAATCACTCCTTGCTCACTCATCCACTATTTCCTGTAGTAGAGGCTTTCAACCAGGGGGTCAGGACCCAAACGGGTCATAAAATGAAAAGAAGCAAGGAACTGTAAATCAATAATGTTTAGTTTTACCTAGGGATGTCAATTGCTAAGAATATTTCTGACCAGTTACGCATGTTGGTCTGCAGGTTTATTTTGCTACTCTTTAGTTAACTGCACTGTGCACCATTCAAAGCTAATGTTAGCTGTGCCGCTCATTCTAAGCTAGAATGGAATAGAAAAAAATGCTAGTAATGTGTTTCTGTTGAAACATTGTGCCCACCCTCTGTTCTCCCCCCAGGGCTCCCCACTGAATAAGCAGCTCAGTTTTAAGCCACAAACCCGCTGTAGCATTGCTAACTTCTGTTCGTACCGTTAGCAGTGTCAGCGCAGTTTATGCTAAAGGGGTTTAGCACCTCAAAATGAAAGACACACCATCAAGCTCATAGTGCTGTTGTAATGGAGATGAAAATCCACGCTGGGCTGACGTGCTGAGTCAAACCAAGTCAAACTAAGCTAGCAACTCGTTGTGGAAAAACGCGATGAGACAATCACAGTGCGTATAGCCATTCCCATTATACACTCAGACATTTTCTGCCTGGACGTTCATTGAAATGCATTACAGAAAGTCAGTTTTGTTCGGTTTTATGAGCTTTTTCGGAGATTTGAAGTTTAAACATGGTCAAACGGTGTGCATGGGGTACATGCAACTCCGACACAAGGTATCCTGAGAGGCTGGGCGACGAGGTGTATTTTTTACACTTTAAACCACATCTCAACTGAGAAAAGTGTCTCCTTTGGATAAAGTTGTGTGGTAACGTTAGACCACAACATCAACTCAACGTGAATAAGATTAACAATGATGTCTACATCTGTTCTAAGGTAAGTCAACATTGTGTTTGAGGCAACATATTGTCACTTTGCTGGAAAGAAATATAAAGTTATCTTTAACATCTCTAGCTAACGTTAGCTAAAGTTAGCCTAACGTTAGCTCCTAGCTGCGTTGTTCATCATGTCACCTTGTTTGCTGGGAGTTCATTAGCCTATTTTGTTCTATTTTTGTTCTTTGGTGATCGTACATCATTGTTAGCTGTTGTCCATAGGGCTCTAGTTAAGCTAATGTTAACTTCTGGAGCTTAGCTTCATTAATTTATCTGTAATCGCAGAGATAACAAAGATTGGCAAACGTTTTACTGAATGATTCAATGTAAATACTGTAGCACCAAACTAAGGGAGAGACACTCTTTGTAAACTGGTAAAAAGGCCATTATCCTTTTCTCATATTCTGAGCCAAAAACCTTAACTTCAGTGACACTTTAACTTGTCTTTGATGGTGACGGCAACGAGATGCAGTTCACAAGCGTACACTGTGACCTGTAAATTTTGGCTTGTAATTTTGCTTTTCATCGACCTTCTCAACAATGAAATGATGAATATATCCCTCTAATGCGTAGTTTAGGCCCTTTTGGTTACTTCTCAATGACATCTGATCGTTATGTTATCAATTCCCTCCTGCGAAATGCCGTGTACTGTGACACCTGCCATAGCGCCCAGTCACTGAATGTTGGTAGTTTGTCGAGTGAGTGGGGAGGGGGGCGTGACTTAGCCATAGGTCACTTAGCAGCACCACTTAACCAGCTAGCTTACACTCTGGTGGTGCACAGTGCAAAGCAGCCAAGGCTAACATTGGCTAACCAGACACAACTACATCACAAAACATTAAAATCTCACCCTCTTGAAATGGACATTGCTTTGAAAGAGTAACTAAACCTCACCTCAGGATTTCGACCAAAGTGACTCCTCCCTGGGCCATGGACAAGAGTATCAAAATGGGCAGTGCTGGCTAAGACACGCCCAGTCACTCATTGTGCTGCCTCTAGACCACACACACATTAGCTCCATTAGCAATGAACAATGATAGCACCCACACTTTTGAACGCAAGTGAAAGGTTGTACGAAGTGGTTGCTTTTTTTTTCTTTTAAAAATAAACCAGTTAGTTACTGTTTAGAAGGTGTTAGGATATTAAAAGCAAAGTAAGACAAAACTGACATCCCTAGTTTTACCTCTTTAGGTACTAAAAATAATTTAAACAGTCTGATCAGAGACGTCTTAGACATGCACCCTGTGACCAAGGACCTCATGTAGACATTAGTATGTATTAGGGAGTCAAAATTAATTTATTTAAAAAAAGGTGGGAACTACTTAACTTATATCACAGATGCATGATAATTGTGTAAAATGGTGGAGGGTGAATGTTGTGCCATTAGAGAGGGATTTCAGACACAGCCCATGTGATGCCATGTGGCAGGAGGCTTTACAAAATGACTGTACATTTTTCTGACTCAAATTTTGTACTGAATAACTCACTGTTTGGCTACAGTGACATTTTTGCTTTTGTATTTTCTGCGAGCTATGCGTGTCAATTTGTAGAATTTATTGTGAAGTGAAAAACACAGTATGACCACCTGGACTCTGGTTTTATCCCATCTTGTACTGTAAAACTGCTGAAAGTGAAACTGCAATACTGAGACATTTATTTTATGCTTCATCGATATTTATTATACATGTGATTAAATTTTTTTTGTCTTTATTTAAGAGGATTTACCTTCATACATGAGTTAACATTGCATTTTTAAGTAGAAAGACATCAGAGGTGCAGTGGAATACAGAATAAATAACACAGAAGTTCCTTCATTTAACTGGATTCAGTGAAACACGTGATAAAAGGCATTTCTCTGTACAATTCATTCATAGAAAAACATTCATCGTACTACAGTAAAACATTTTTTGTTATTATAAAAATAAACTTTTCAGGAAGTGCCTGACAAGTGACCTGAGTATCTTTAGTGCATTTACAGAGCGGAGTGTCTATTTGCACCTGGGTGAAGTTAGTCACACTGCAGCTGTTCAGCTATTTACACCCATCCATATTTGATGTGTCCTCATCTAAGTGGTTGTGATTAGGGTAAAGGGGTCATGGTTAGTGCTAGTATGAGGCAATCTTGGATATTCTCTGAGATTAAGGTGGTAAATTTACACAAACTCACAAATGTGCCGCCAGAAGGTCAGGTGACATAGGATAAAGAGCGACACAGTCCACTGGGGGAGTAAGATGTGGTGGGTAAATGTGTCAAGCACAGAACTTTCACACAGGAGACGGGGATGAGTTTGATATTAGTTTGTGCTGACGTATTATTTTTGGGTTGAATAAAGCTGCTGAATACACACTGTGTAAATAAACTTCAGCAGAATAGCTGTATAGACCCATTTCATGTTAACATCATATTTGGACATAGCATTATTGGTGAAGGACACCTGGGTGCAAATAGAACTTGCCTTCACCAAGAGCTTTCAAGTGCAATGATGAACAACTTCAACCACCCAAGCTGACAACAGACCTACCACCCTGACAACAGAAACACTGAGGTAACAGGAACAACGAAAGATAGGAATAATGAAATTGAGAAACCCGCTGCAGCTGATGCAGGGGACGGCATGTCGTCAACCGTCTCCTTTAAGAAGGACCCGTATCTTGAAGTTTTGGCAAAGACCTGAATATCAGCGCGAAGTGATTTGCTTTCACTCACTGACACAACGGCCACTTGGAACCAAGACGTGTCCGACTTGCACAGCAGAGGGCTGCCCTGATCCCCCTGCAAATGCAAACACACAAGATTAATCATCAGTGAGGTCCTGAGACTCCTCCGCCTTGATGACAGGGTAAACAGATTTCAGAAACACTGGTGGATGGGAAAACTTGTACCTGTTGAAGGTCCATGGCATAAGTGCAGATGTTCTCCGAATTAGAACTATTCCCACAATTGGCCACCTCAGTTTCAAGGTCTCGGAGGTTCGAACCAGCTTTAACAGTGCATGGAAAAATCATATTTAATCACATAAATTTTTAAATGATGATCATCAAATGATGCCTGCATATATGAGGCAACTATTAAAAATCTGCTTTCTCTAACACAAAAGCTTGATATACCCATACCTTTGCTCTTGCTGCCCATCTCCCAACCTGCCACCCAGCAGCGAGTCCCACTGGGGAAGGTTCTGTCGCTGCTGACATCCATACACACAGGCTGGGTATAATCTGTCAATATGACCGGTTCAGTCAGCAGCAGCACTGCAATATTGGAACCTGTCATTTGGCTCAGTATAATCCTTGCAACACCAACAGACATCTCAAACTCTTCAGAGCCGTTCACAAGTTGCTGGCCCACAAACACACTCCACTCACGGGCATCTGGATTGGAGCTGTCAGGAGGATAGAGGGTACCATATTCTGTGATCTCAAGCTTAAATGTTATACAATGAATAATGAATATAAAAATGTATTCTATTCTTACGTGGAGAAGCATTGTGCAGAAGTAAGGACGAAACGGCGAGAGATGAGGGATCCTCCACAAGTATAGACCCCATTTTTGTGGAGACTAACCATCCAGGGCCACGTCCCTCCAGGTACAAAACCATTGTCACCTATGGCACGACTGTTCATTGGAGCTTTGCCACACACTGAAGCTAAATGTTAAAAATTGAAAAATGAAGAGAAGCAGAAATAAATGACAGAGTAAAATAACACAATCCAAATTTAAACAATTTAAACAAAGGACACTCACGTGCAGGAGTGGTTGCAATTTGGGAAGTAGTACTTGGTTTTTTGGTCGGTGAAGATGTTGAGGGAACTGGCAGACCAGGACAGGTGAAGCTGCTGTCAGCATCCAGCCCACTGGAGGTGAAGCGCACAAAGCCTGGCTGATCAGAGCTGATGTGGGAGTTGA